GCCATACACTTGACTAAAAATCAAATGTTTCATGAGAAAATGAAACGCATCCAAGTCAAGTGTAACTTTGTTCGCGAGATTATTTTTAGATGTGAGATTGTAATGAAAAAAATAGTTATAACTGAAAATCAAGTAAATTTGTTAACGAAGATAATGTCTGGGATAAAGTTTAAGCATTACTTAGACTTGATTGATGTTCGTAATGCTTGAGGCAGTTTGGGGCATTAATAATGTCGACAGAGATTAGTTAGTAAGTTGGAACTTAGTAAATTAAGCCTAAGGTGTATATTTGTTTGGATAGTCTTGAATTGTTATTTAACTAGGATAGTTTTAATTCTAATGAAACTAGTATACCATGTTAAGATAATCTTTAAATCTAGCTAGATTAGGATAACATATTCTAATTATATTAAGATAAGATTATTATACTTTACCCAATCAAAAGACCCCATGAGGTTAAAGAATATTGAACACCTAGATTTAGAAAGAGTGATTTGGGTGTATGCAGAATAAGGCTTATGAGTTTAAGATCGTTCTTATAATCTTTTGATTTTTCTCTTAATGGATCTTTCTATGTTATTGTACTTGTAGACGTATGTCATTATAAGACTGAACTAAATAAATTCTTGTGATCTTATGAGGGGTGCTTGATTTTTTTTAAAATTTTTTTATTATATTGGTTGGGTAAGATTCTAAGTAACTCTTTAGAAATAATTTCACAATTTTCACAAAAGATGGTTCTTTATTTAACAAAAGGAATAGCAAGCATTTTGTTATTGAGAACAAATGAGTAATTAGAGTAATTATTGCAAGACACAGTAAACTAAAATTATAAATCTAGAAAGCCTTGTATAAACAAGAGTAATTAGAGGACATTTTTTTTTCAAAATTTTTATTTTTCTCCCTTCTTGTTCTATTTTCTATAATCTCACCCTACATTCCTCAGTAGCTCAAAGTGGTAATGCTAGTCAGAAACTTTATGGGATAAATCTGTATACCTCCAAAATAGCTACTTTGATTGAAACATTTTCAAATAAGATTGGTGGGAACATGATAAACAAGCTTTAGATTAAATTCAATATACAATCATTCACAAGTATGTTATGGTAATTCAAAATTGAGATACTCACATTAAACATTTGGTGTAATGATATGTAAAATCACGTTTTTTTTTAAAGATTGAAAATCTCAATATAGTGAAGGTGTTAATTATAAGTCAAACTATCATATTATTATAGTAAATATATTTATTGTATGATATTTATCAAGAAATTAATTGATCTCACACTCACTAATTATAGAAATTTAGAAGTTGGAAATGAGTTCCAATTCTCCCTTTAATTGAATTTAAATATTAAAGTGAAATACATCATTAATAAAGAATAATAAGTCCAATTTGAGTTTGGAAAAGTGAGAATAATTACAGTGCTGTTAAAGTGATTTGGCAGAATATTCTTGAGATTATAGAGTACATAAAAGCATGGCTTTTTGGAACAGTAAAAGAAGAAAAAGGTGTTGATAAGGATTAAGGAATGAGGAGCCATATTCCCGAGGAGGAACCTCATAAACATATAGCTAACACGTGTTTTCAATCCCCCACAGACCTTTCGACCTAATTAATGGAGTGAATCATTAAAATGAATCTTTGAGTAAATCCAAAACTAATGTTAAAAATGAAGTAATTAAGGTGGCAGCTCAGCTGCTCCTGCTCCTACTTATGCACATTACAGCACTATATTAGTTATTGGAATTTAAATAAAACCGTCCAAAACATATTATATTATATATAATCCAATTAAAAAAAAACTAATTTTGTCTTGAGAATAAAAGCATCAAGACTTTGTCGTCGTCTATCTTACAAAAAGTTGGTTTTCCTTTTGTTCTCATCTTCAATTTCCAAATATATATTGCTGCTCGCTTGTCACCTATTAAAAGGGAAGGGCTTGTGGTTATGTCCATTCCTAAACGAATGATGATGATT